TAATAAGATACAATATCGGAATAATAACTAATAAAATAATAAACTGTTCTATAACAATACAATAGGCAGAATTATGTTCTAACTACAATGAGAATCAATTAGCAATTCATTATATTCAAGATACATAGCTTTTATTTAAAAAACAATTTGTTAGCGCATGGACCAACTGTCACCTTCATTTAGGCAATACAACTACATCTCATGTAGAAAGCATATATTCAGTATTAAAAAAATATTTGCAAGTTTCAACAGGTAACTTGCATATAGTGTATGAAAAAATTTTACTCTTAGTAGAAAACCAATATAGCGAAATTAAAGTAATAGCTGCTCAGGACAAAGTTCGTATTCTACATGCTCAAAATGGTCTTTTTATACCAAATTAATTACTAAAGTTTCTACATTTGTATTGAGAAAAATACATAAACAATACTTTAAAGCTAAACATGCAAGTTCTAATAATCTACTTGAGCCTTGCAGTAGTACTTTCAGTACATTTATGAGCCTTCTATGTGCCCATACTATTCAAGAATGACTTGCTAAAAATCAAATATTAGTCCTTGATGATATTCATCAACACTGACATATTGAACATTCTCAATTACCTTTGCCAAATAGATTTGAAACTGAGGAACATTCATTACAACAATTATTGCAAAACTTTAGTCATGAATATGCTTCTTGATTAGCTCCTCAACAAGCTACTGCTCGAGATAAGTTATCTAAGTTAGTTAAAATATCATCTACACCATTATTGGATCTAATAGTGCAACGTACTAGAGGGTGGCTAGTTGGATCATATAACAAGCCTCAATCTTCTACCAGGAGAGATCCATCAGCATTCGAATTAAATGAAACTAATATAAATGGTAGAAAGTGTAAAATATGTAAAGAAATTGGCCACAATTGTAGAACATGTCCTAACCATATAGTAAGTAAAAACTCAAAGTTTTTTTAGATTTATAGAAATAACCTTTTTATTGAACCTTACTATTAATTTTAGGATAATCATATACAGTAGAGTTTTAGTTTTAAGGAGTTAGTAACAATAAAAAGCAAAATGTTTTTACATCATCTAGTTATATATCAAATAGATTTATAACAAATATCTATAGCGTAGCAATACTTAATATGTCTTATACACAATTATTAAGTATATATTATACATATCTGCTTTACAATCAAATAATCATATATTGTATATGTACAGTATATTTTTTTGCATTTTTGTAATCATTGTTTTTATGAAACATATATTGTATGTGCAGGTAATTTTGAATTAGTACGTACATAGGATAATTACTAGGGTTCTGCAAATGCCCATGCCAGGCACTAGTGCCTTATACCATGCCTATGCCTATAGGCATAAAATACCCAGCACACTTATAGGCATGGGCATTAAAGTTCCAGCATTAATGTTCCAAAGCCAGGCATTTTATGCCTATGCCTAAATGGTAATTGGCATTGTTGTGCCATATAGTGCCTAATAAAATAAGTGGCATTTCTATGCCAGGCATATAATGCCCAAGACAAAAAAATGCCTGGCACTTTATGCAAATGCCTGGCACTTTATAATAATGCCAAGGCAAAAAAATGCTAGGCACTTTATGCCGATGCCTGGCACTTTGTAATAATGCCCAAGGCAAAAAATGCCAGGCACTTTATGCCGATGCCTGGCACTTTGTAATAATGCTCTTAAAGAAATTAATTCGAGATTATCAGGTGTAATTAGTGATGTGCCGTTTATATGATAGCCCGATTTTTTTCGCATACAGTACGTACAGTACGTACAATACGTACAGTACATACAGTAATATATAGTATATAATCAGAAATAGATCTGCATTATTACTACGGCAAAATCTTTAATACCAGGAACGGAGTGATGAATATCACGAAGTGTATGG